CCCCCCCCCCCCCCCCCCCCCCCCCAAAAGAAAACACGTCTATCCATGCTAAATGTAGTCTCCGCAGGGAGAGGCAGAGCGATACATGCTGAGGATGGGAATGAAAAGGGAGGGAGAGGTCGGGGGTCACGGTATCGATCACTTGAGGAGAAATTAGCCCGCAAAGAGGAAAAAAGACAAACTGGCAGGAAAACAGCCACAAAAAGTGTCTGACTTAGACACAAAGACAGGAAAGGACAACACAAAAGAATTAATAATTGCACCGAAACAGCCAACCCCCACATGGGAAATATATATATATATATATATATATAGGACACTGCACACACAGATATACAAGGAAATAAACTTACTTGTTCACCATCACCAAACTGAAGCGGGAGACAAACTCAGATCCTTCACATGGTGGGAGAGAAAGAACGAGAGAGAGAGAACTTGTTACACATCGGCACACAGTGGCACGCTGACCAGAGTGTGTGCAGGGCGGTGGAGGGGGGAGTAAAGGGGTGTGTGTGATGGGGAGATGGGGGGTAAAACATTCCTGTTTGTGCAGAGCAAGCTTAGGTCTCTGAATAGAGAGGCATGTCTGCCCTGTGTCAGTGTGTATTGTAATAATCGTTGAGAGATCCTTTGATTTTGGTGGAATAAAAAAAAATAAATCAGTGACATTTCCATTCGGTTCCATTGAAGCCTTCTTTACACAGGACAGCTTGCATCCGTGTGTGCATTTCAGTTCAGACTATGACTCAAATTCACCGTTTCATTATTTCAAAACGTCGCACTGATGGATTTGTGTTTTGCACGAGATGCACTGCAGTCACACCAGGTCATTTGTCATCAGAAGCCACTTGACACCTTTTTTTGTTCCGTTTCAAGCGCTGCGTGGAGCCATTTATCAAGTCATTTGGCGCCTCCAGCTTTTTAAATATGAAAGCCTTTGTTTTGTAAGTCAAATAACTTCCCTTTGAGAAACGTATGAAGTGCACAGTTTCTTTTAGTAAAAGCAAATCCTAAAAATCAAATGCTAATGCATGAGTCGCTGAGCTGCTGAAGACTGTTGGCTAACTTCTTCAAACTATCGGCATCTGAATCAGTGTACATGAAGTGATCTGAGGTCAGTTTTAAAATCTGTCTGGATACAAAATGAATCCGAGCACAGCATGTGGCGTCGCCACCGTGCAAACCAATGAGCAGACAGAGTCAATAGCGAACGCAATTAGCTCAGACAAACATTGTGTTTGCCTGAACAAAGTCTGGCCTCCAGAGTCACCTGATGGCCAGCAGAAAAAAAGAGTGTTTACTGGTAAAGTTGATTCAAAGTAGACAAAATAGTCTCAACTCAAGCAGTAAGTGAACCTTTGGTTTGGACCATTTCATCAGAAACATTACGTGGATTCATGTTTTCTTGATCTTTACGCAAACAACCTAAAAAACATTTACACATATCATTTCTTTCAGATATACCGCCGTGGTGTGGACCTACTCGGTGACAACAAGCAGGAAATATGACAGGTGATTTTGTCCTGTTGACAGCGACCCCGGTTAGACGTGCGCTACAGAAGTGCCAGTCTGAGGAGGCAAAGGGGCTGACCAATAAATCATATCCAGTGAGAAAAAAAAAGGGACAGGATCGCTTTGCTTCTCGTGTGCCCGGCGGAGCGTAAGAGACAAATAACACTTCCCGGGCCTCATCCCCAACCTTTACAGAGCAGGACATTCATCTCTCGCAGCCTCAGAGAGGATGAATGGCTCGTTCCTGTGCAAACTTCAGGATGACCTCCTCCGGCTCTGTTTTTACAGCCCCCCTGTCACTGCTGAGGCTGAATGATTACAGGGAGCTGGGCAAAAACAAAAAACCAGGACCAAGTGAAAGATGGCAAAGGCTTGAACATTACAGTGAACTTAAAAAAAAACAACCCCCAAGCTGTCAGCCGAACGAGTGAATATGATCGTGACTTCTGAATCACCTTGTGTGGTTCTGAAGCTGCTTCAGAGCTCATTCTGCCTCTAAGTGCCAGCGTCTTCCTAAAAGCCCCAATTATTTGTAGTCAAAGCAGGTTGAGGTCAAATAAAATAGGTGTTATGAGCACCTTTTGCATTGTACAAATTTCATCGCCTGTCTCATCATTTCAGTCTCAGAATTGTATAATCCTAAAAACATCTGTGTATCTGCAGATCAACACTTTTTTTTGTACTACTTTTAATAGCAGGCGTTAAAAGCCACTGCATGTCTTATAGCAAGGCTTGTGCAATATGAATATTAATATATAAAAAACTATTTACAAATTAGGTGTTTCACTTCTGCAACTCCTAAAAATGGAAAAGCTGAAACCATCATTAACTGATTTTTGTTGCCACTTGGGGGCAGCAATAAATTGCACATTACATTTGACCTGTTATTATTCATGAGGAAATATTGATTAGTGCTGCTTTAACTATACTCCAACATTTGGGCTAAAGGCAAAAACAATCACGAGGCCACTGTTACTTATTTTTAGAGCGCTTATTAATTTGGGTTCACACCGATGAGAGGACCAAAAGATGCTAAAACGCTGAATTTAAAAAGCACATTATCTCCAAAGACTTCCATTAATCCATGACCAGCTGCAATGGAGACCTGCAGGGGGTTACAACTATTAACCCCCAAAACTAGCACCCCCACCCACCCACCACCATCACCCCACGTCACAGCCCTCAATGGATGCCTTGTCCAGCACATAGCGCTCCACTGTGAAACAGGCCCGTGTGTTGCAAAGTAATATTGACTTTTAATGCTTCAAACATTCAGCTCGCTCCGTTTTAAACAAACCTGGCTGTGTTGATTTTTTAAAACCCCAGCAGACAACCTAGGTCTACCTTTCTACTGGAGCAGTAACACTGTGCTAATAGGAGTCACTCACACACACACACACACACACACACACAAGTAGATGTGCAGTTTAGAAGCTGGACAAGCCAGTTAAAAAAAAAATCTAGGTTGAACTGAGAGTTTGACATTCTGGGAAATATGCAAAAAGTTATGAGAAATATGCTAAATATGAGATGAGAAGTCCAGACTTCTTCTTCTTCTTATTTACACTTCCTATCTTGTTTATTTACTAAATGTGAGCTATTTCTTGACCAAGGGTAATGGTTAGCATCTCACGTAGCATCTCAAAACCCCTTAATAAAACACAGTCACTTCTGATTGAAAGGTTGTTGGTTTAAATCCCTTATTGGGTGCTCTTCTTCACCCCAACAGCTATGATGGTCCCAAACGCAAGATGCTAAACGTCAAAATCTCATCCAGCGATGTTGGATAACTGTTGCTTTCTATCACGTTTTCCAAGAAAAACACATAACTTTCCCTGAATAAATAAAGGTGAAATACACACACACACACACACACACACACACACACACACACACACACACACACACACACACACACACAGTCTCAGAGTCTGAATTCTGGGCTGTGTGAGTGGAGGAAACCTGAACACCCAGCCGCCTGTCCATCAGCCTCGGCCCTTTTTCCCTCCTCATCCATCTTTCTCTCCTTTTCCAATTCAGCCTGACCTCATGTGAAACTGTGGAGGTCTGTGGGTAACACGCTCAGGAGTCCAGATTAATGATTTAATGCCACTTCCATTTAGGGGGATTATATATTAGCAGCAGTAAGTCATTATACAGTGGTGTGAAAAAGTGTTTGCCCCCTTCCTGATTTCTTATTTTTTTGCATGTTTGTCACACTTAAATGTTTCAGATCATCAAACGAATTTAAATATTAGACAAAGATAACACAAGTAAACACAAAATGCAGTTTTTAAATGAAGGTTTTTATTATTAAGGGGGAAAAAAAATCCAAACCTACATGGCCCTGTGTGAAAAAGTGATTGCCCCCTAAACCTAATAACTGGTTGGGCCACCCTTAGCAGCAACAACTGCAATCAAGCGTTTGCGATAACTGGCAATGAGTCTTTTACAGCGCTGTAGAGGAACTTTGGCCCACTCATCTTTGCAGAATTGTTGTAATTCAGCCACATTGGAGGGTTTTCAAGCATGAACCGCCTTTTTAAGGTCATGCCACAGCATCTCAATCGGATTCAGGTCGGGACTTTGACTAGGCCACTCCAAAGTCTTCATTTTGTTTTTCTTAAGCCATTCAGAGGTGGACTTGCTGGTGTGTTTTGGATCATTGTCCTGCTGCAGAACCCAAGTGCGCTTCAGCTTGAGGTCACGAACAGATGGCCGGACATTCTCCTTCAGGATTTTTTGGTAGACAGCAGAATTCATGGTTCCATTTACCACAGCAAGTCTTCCAGGTCCTGAAGCAGCAAAACATCCCCAGACCATCACACTACCACCACCATATTTTACTGTTGGTATGATGTTCCTTTTCTGAAATGCCGTGTTACTTTTACGCCAGATGTAATGGGACATACACCTTCCAAAAAGTTCAACTTTTGTCTCGTCAGTCCACAGAGTATTTTCCCAAAAGTCTTGGGGATCATCAAGATGTTTTCTGGCAAAACTGAGACGAGCCTTTATGTTCTTGTTGCTCAGCAGTGGTTTTCGTCTTGGAACTCTGCCATGCAGGCCATTTTTGCCCAGTCTCTTTCTTATGGTGGAGTCATGAACACTGACCTTAATTGAGGCAAGTGAGGCCTGCAGTTCTTTGGATGTTGTTCTGGGGTCTTTTGTGACCTCTTGGATGAGTCGTCGCTGCACTCTTGGGGTAATTTTGGTCGGCCGGCCACTCCTGGGAAGGTTCACCACTGTTCCATGTTTTCGCCATTTGTGGATAATGGCTCTCACTGTGGTTCGCTGGAGTCCCAAAGCTTTAGAAATGGCTTTGTAACCTTTTCCAGACTGATAGATCTCAATTACTTTGTTTCTCATTTGTTCCTGAATTTCTTTGGATCGCAGCATGATGTCTAGCTTTTGAGGATCTTTTGGTCTACCTCACTTTGTCAGGCAGGTCCTATTGAAGTGATTTCTTGATTGAGAACAGGTGTGGCAGTAATCAGGCCTGGGTGTGGCTAGAGAAATTGAACTCAGCTTTCCAAAGATGTGATAAACCACATTTAATTTATGTTTTAACAGGGGGGGGGGGCAATCACTTTTTCACACAGGGCCATGTAGGTTTGGATTTTTTTTTTTCCTTAATAATAAAAACCTTCATTTAAAAACTGCATTTTGTGTTCACTTGTGTTATCTTTGTCGAATATTTAAATTTGTTTGATGATCTGAAACATTTAAGTGTGACAAACATGCAAAAAAAATAAGAAATCAGGAAGGGGGCAAACACTTTTTCACAAAACTGTATGTACTGAGGACTTAGCAGCTAGGTTTCCACACAGGCTGTAATTTAATATTTCAAAATAAATCTACCGTAAAGTTATTTATTCAACCATAAACTATCAATAAATACATCGGATAGGGTGCTATCAGTACACATATATGATTGACAGGTACATGAGAATCCACACATTGAACTGTAGTTGAGCAAATCTTTGTATTAGCTCAGGATCAGCTCTTCTCACATCATCATGCACATGATAAATAGATCTTGTCATGAATAATAATAATTGCACCTCCACAAACTCAAACTAGAAGAGATATGCCAATATGTAAAAAGTACTTTTTTATGTTTATGAATAATGATGAAGGAGCCTCTTCATTTTAATATAGAAAACAACAGATACTTTGAACTATTCCTCCATAATGCACCGTGGTGGTGGTCAGCAGCACATCAGATCAGAAAGTAGAGATTTTAAACACTGTTTGGTTGATTGTGGATTTCTATGTGAGGCCGAATTTACCACATTTAACAGTGAAGTGTTATGTTTTCACGGGTACCAGCAATGCGTTACGACTTGTTTTTCATCAATAAATGTTACTGCATTAACTGCCGCTTGGTGAATGGACGCCGAACTGGAGCGCGCACACAAACTATGTGTTAAATGTTTTAAGTCCAAATGCGTTTTCCGGAAAGTTCGGCACCGAAAACAACCACAAAAAAAGAAGTAGCCTACTGTCTGTTCAAAAGCTTCCTCGTGAAATTGAGTCACAACTAAATGAAGCTTACCTTTCACTTCGGATTCCTCCGCGTGCGATTCCTGCTGTTTTGTGGGGTTTTGCAGAGACGGAGATGGTGCAGGTTCATCTATCCGGACCTGTGTGGACTCTGCTGCAGGCTCTGTCAACTGTAACAAGTCACAGTTTAAATCCAGACCAGTAGGGGTGCTGCCAATGTGGACCAAATGTGTACTAATGTGTACTGCAGTGATGCGTGTGAGAACGGGCGCGAGGCTCGTGTGTCTGAAAAGTAAGCAGCCTTGATATTAATTAACAGTCATGTGTGATACCTCCTTCACAAATCCACAGTGTAGACATCAATGTTATCATAATAAAAGGTACCCTTTGACATGCAGCTGGTTTTATTGGCAGAGGTTTGCTGGGATCATTGGGAGGAGAAAAAACACATGGCAAAAATCACTTAAGTTAAGCTTGGCTGCCACCTGCTGGGACATTGCCCTGTCCCTTCCATTGTTATAATAACGTCATATATTATTTATACACCAAATATGTCAAGGTAAGCATAACGTGGATTCAATTAGCTTGCTGGAACAAGCAGATATAATATACAGTGTATGATTATTTATATCTGTCACATTATACTCACCTTTTTCTTTTACAGTTACAAAAAAAAAGAAAAGAGAAAGAAAACTGTCAAACAAATTAATAATTACCTATTTATTCCATTACATATTGAAAATATAGCCCTTCAAAATCTCATTCATGAGCTAACTGTTATTTTGAAGTCATACTGGTCTGTGTAAATGTATTCTTTATTCATATATTTGAATAAGTATTTACACAATTGGAATTACATTTTTCCTTCAAATACAGTTTACATGCAGTAATTATTATTGTGTTTAAAGTCATAATTTACAAAATGTATACGTTTTCAGTCATTAATTTAGTTTCATTGATGTATGTATCTATTTGATTATGTAATAAATGTATCTATGATTTACAGACTTATTGAATGAATGTGACATGTTCTCTCACGTTAACCGAAACTCACCAGAATTGCTCTTATTTTGAAGTCAGATCTTACACGCTACTACAGTAATGCCTAGCACATACGCGTACATATGCGAACCGCAACATTGTACTTAAGTACAGTACTTGAGTAAATATACTTAGTTACTTTCCATATACTTAGTTACTTTCCATACTCCTAATAGACACGTAAAACAACAATGAGCTGTTTCTACTTTGTTACGATGAAGTAGTCATTTCCCGCGCTTTGGTAATTCATTATTAACTAATAGGATTAGAGCGCTCACCTCTCTGTGTCACGTCCGTCCAATAGAATCTGTGAGCCAATGGCGTGCGTTTGACACGGTGCTCTCGTCCAATGAACGACGAGCAGAGTTGATACAGACAGCCAATGTGCGGAGGAGCAGCATTTGTGTGACCGACGCTTGGTGTGCCGGGCTCATTTCGCCGCTTCTCCACCCGGCTGGTCTTTTTGGATCTCACTGCAATGGCGGACCAGCAGCAGCAGCAGCAGTTCTACCTCCTGCTGGGCAACCTGATGAGCCCTGACAACACCGTCAGGAAGCAATCGGAGGTGAGAGAACTACACGTAGCGGATTTGACGAGTGACAAGTACTGTGATTGTATAAAACTGTGGTTATCGGGGTTAGCTAAAAGCTAGCCGCCTATAGCCAGTCCGGCCGCGCGCGCAGTGAGCTCTCGCGTCAGGCTCTATAGCCCACGTGCAATGTGAAGCTAGGGGGATCTAACTAGAAGAGTACCGGAAGTAGCATGAAGCTATGAGAGTTGCTCCAGTGTTGCTAGTTTCATTAGCTAGCAAGCTAGCGCTGAACAGAGTGTGGCTGCTAAAAGAGCCAGAAATTAAATGGCGACACACACGTGTCACGTTATAGGTGGAATAATGAACAACAAACCCGTTGTGGTTATGTTACAGGTGGAGTCAGCCAGCGAGCTATGCTAGCTGTGATTTGTACCATGGCCTTCAGTCATTTTGATCTGGAAGTCAAGTTAAACACAAACACGTTGTTGTCCTCCGAGTTTAGTTTAAAGTGAATTACCTCCGTTTCAGTCACGTCACCAGTTAAGGCTCGTCTCGGCTCATCCCCTCTCACTGGATTAGGTGCTCTAGTGGATTTGTTTGGGCTGAGTCGAGCTGGCCTATTCACTTTCCCCACAACCACCACCACGATGAGCCTCTTGTCGCGGCAAAAGCATTGTCTCCACAGTTTCACCTCGTTTGGATGAGGTGGTTGAATCTTATCACGCTCATCCCTCGCTGTGCAGTCAGCGCTTTTCTTTATTGAACCACAGACAGTCTGCCGCGATACTAAGCTCATTGGAATCCATCCCTTTCTACTCTTACACACACAATAGGAATTGATCCATCTGTTATGATCAGCTAAAGACTACAGCTGCTAAACATTTAGAGGTGCCCACCACACAAATGAAGGGATGATGTGAGGGATGGCGAGCCATGAAGTGTCACCATTGGTTTGAGCTTTTGCAATAGCTAGTTTTAAAGTCATCTTGGCTGTTTGGGAGTATGATATGGACTAAAAGCTACACACATGTTGGTGGATGTGAGGCAGATGATGCTGGTGACGAAATCAGATTATTGGGAGAAGTCATGTTTGGGAAGGAGCAGCCTGTGTGTACGGTTTCTATTTCAACGTGTTGACTCAGTAATCTGGTTTCTCTCCAGTCACACTGTTGCGACAGTGACCATCAGCATCACATTCGCCTCGGCGCACACCCAGCCCTTCACGTGTGTGTGTTTGCGTTTCTTTTATGGCTTCTGTGAGGCAGCTTGAGAGCGTTCGAGACCAAACCAAATGCACAGAACAACCGGTCTTATTTATTTAAAATGTCCCCCTCTGTGAGAGCCGCGTCCCATGATGTCGAAGGTCTGAAGTGTCCAAACTGCAATAAGAACTTAGTGGCTGCTTCTATTTTTGCCTTGTTATTTTTTAACACTTGTCTGTTGGAAACTTGTTCAAATCTAGAAGTTTTTATTATTATGATTTACTGCTCTTACGTGTACACGTGTCCTGCTTATTCCTTTATCACTTAATACAATCCAAGGCCTACAGGTTACACAGATTACAGTCGGCGCCATAAACACCCAGTGAATGAAGCGTAGGCCTTTAAATAACCACACCCATGTCATTACCTCATCCATAAATATGAATTAAACTGGGAAGCAGCATCCGTTTCGGTAGAGATACATTTCTCGCAGGGCTAAAATAGTGCATTTGTGATGAGTCTTGTTTCACTCGCACCACTGACCTGTTCCTTTTTCTTCGCAGGAGACCTATGACACCATCCTGGGCCAGAACAAGATCACATTCTTGCTGCAGGCCATCCGAGATGCATCTGCTGCAGAGGAGGTTTGTACTCTTTTTAACGCCAACAAAGTCACAGGTCACGTGACGCAGCACTACGTCCGCGTCGCTGTCGTATCTCTGCTTTTGAGACAGTTGCCACGTTCGCGGCATCTCGCGAATGCAGCGCGGCCACCACGCGTTGGCTCGTTATGAGTCACGGTTTTGGCATCTGGGTGGTTATGTTTACTCTGAGTTCACCAGCTGCTTGTTCCCTCATGCTCCCTCTCCTTTTCTTTACCCCAAGGCTGATATTTTTAGAGTCTTGAAATGGGAGCAGGCACTAGGTGCTTGGCCCCTGGAGAGTGACGGTGCGTTGTTTTGTTTTTTTGACCGACTCAAATATTTTATTCCACCAAATGTTCCCGTGCATGTCTGGTAGCCGCAAACACAAACTGGCAAAATGAATCCAAAGAAAACCTGTAAAATAAAACTGGCTTCTAATCGGCGCTCAGGTCAAACAGATGGCGGCGGTGCTGCTGCGGCGGCTGCTGTCGGCGTCCTTCGAGGAGGTCTACCCGGGCCTGACGCTGGAGATGCAGACAGCCATCAAGACGGAGCTGCTGACCAGCATCCAGCAGGAGACCTCGCCCAACATCCGCAAGAAGGTCTGCGACATCGCAGCCGAGCTCACCCGCAACCTCATAGGTAACGGATTCATTTTACTGTGACAAATGTAGAGTGTTGGTTTTATTTTATTCAGAAAATGAATCGTTGATTGTGATGTCTTTCATCCAGATGACGATGGGAATAACCAGTGGCCCGAGGTGCTCAAGTTCCTCTTCGACTCTGTCAACTCTGACAGCGTTAACCTGCGAGAATCTGCCCTGCACATATTCTGGTGAGTCCTCTGCTCGCTTCACCCCACGTCTTTTATTTGGGACATATATATTGATGCGATTCGTCTGCCTGTAAGCACTGCCGGCTGACGGTTGTGTGTCTCGTCCTCTTTAGGAACTTCCCGGGGATCTTCGGCAACCAGCAGCAGCACTATATGGAGGTTATCAAGCGCATGCTTGTTCAGTGCATGCAGGACCAGGCAAACCCACAGGTAAGAGCTCCCCCGAGCGGGATTTAGGGCCGTTAATACCGAGCGGGATTTAGGGCCGTTAATATCCCGATTTTCTACGACTGTACATTGTATTTATTGCAAACTATCCTTCAGATTCGCACCCTGGCGGCTCGCGCTGCAGCGTCCTTTGTTCTGTCGAACGAGAGCAACTCGGCTCTGCTGAAGCACTTCGCCGACCTCCTCCCGGGCCTCCTGCAGGTGAGATGCCTTACAGATGAGAGATCTACTGCAACAGTGTTTTAGTGAGCGTTACCCGTCTGTGACTCATGATGGCAGGTGGAGGTTGAGCCCTCAGATTGCGGCAGTCACGGCCGAATGAACACATTTGCAACGCTGACCGCATATTCTGTTGTTTTCAATCAGGCTGTGAACGACTCGTGCTACCAGGCGGACGACTCTGTGCTCAAGTCCTTAGTGGAAATCGCGGACACGGCACCCAAATACCTGAGGCCCAACCTGGAGCCCACCCTGCAGCTCTGTCTGAAGGTGAGTCAGAGAGCACCCGAATGCCAAATATTCCTTGGCATCCGATTTGCATTACACCGATGTGACCGTAAGCTCCCGCGTGAACCAACGTGTCGCCGTGTCTCTTCAGCTGTGTGCCGACACCAACCTGACGAACATGCAGAGGCAGTTGTCGCTGGAGGTCATCGTCACTTTATCGGAGACGGCGGCGGCCATGCTGAGGAAACACACGGTCATCGTGGCTCAGAGCGGTGAGGAGAGCGTTAACCGTTCGCTCCCCTATAAGTTTCGTCCGCGAAATAGTTTTTTGGACAGTCGTAATTATGCGTGTGCTGTGTCTTCAGTGCCCCAGATGCTGGCCATGATGGTGGACCTCGAGGACGATGACGAGTGGGCCATGGCTGATGAGCTGGAGGACGATGACTTTGACAGGTAAGGCCTGGTGCATCACCACCAAGACACAGATATAAGGGACCCTCAAAGACAAAGCACTCAAAAGGTTTGAAAGTGTGTTGAGTGATTTATTTCTTGTCCCCCTCCAGTAACGCTGTGGCCGGGGAGAGCGCTCTCGACAGAATCGCCTGTGGCCTGGGAGGAAAGATCATCCTGCCCATGATCAAACAGCATATCATGCAGATGCTGCAGAACCGTAAGTAAAACCTGCCGCTATTCAAACTGTCAGAATTCAAAATCAGTTCGGCATGAACGAGATCAACCCTGTGCGTCTGTCGCCAGCTGACTGGAAGTACCGCCACGCGGGGCTGATGGCGCTGTCGGCCATCGGCGAGGGCTGCCACCAGCAGATGGAGGCCATCCTCCAAGAGATCGTCAGCTTCGTCCTCATCTTCTGCTCCGATCCTGTAAGAAAGGATTTAGTTACTTACGTTTTTACGACTTTACGCAGCATCTCATATGGTGGTAATGAGTTTGGCTTCCTTTTCCCTCCTCAGCACCCACGGGTGCGCTACGCTGCCTGCAACGCCATTGGACAAATGGCCACAGACTTTGCCCCAACCTTCCAAAAGAAATTCCACGACAAGGTAACAAATGATCCGTGCGGGACGGGTTCACGCTGTAACTGTTTACTACTGTGGACTCTGACGCTGCATCCGCCTCCCCCTTAGGTGATCTCGGCCCTGCTTCAGACCATGGAGGACCAGAGTAACCCTCGGGTGCAGGCGCACGCCGCCGCCGCCCTAATCAACTTCACAGAGGACTGTCCCAAATCCCTGCTGATCCCGTATCTGGACAGCTTGGTGCAGCACCTTCACGTCATCATGGTGGCCAAGCTGCAAGAGGTACAATTAGATACTTATGTTTTTAATAAATCCAGCCAGGCTGGCAGGAGTCCTAACCGTGTCGCCTTCCCTTCTCCCCAGTTGATCCAGAAGGGCACCAAACTGGTCCTGGAGCAGGTGGTGACGTCCATCGCCTCGGTGGCGGACACGGCCGAGGAGAAGTTCGTGCCGTACTACGACCTGTTCATGCCGTCGCTCAAGCACATCGTCGAGAACGCCGTGCAGAAGGAGCTCCGGCTGCTTCGCGGCAAGACCATCGAGTGCATCAGCCTCATCGGCCTGGCGGTCGGCAAGGAGAAGGTACGTCTGCTCGGGGAAAATACCCCCTGAGGTTCTGTAAAATGAAAGATGGCTGCCATCTTCACGTGCGTCTCTTTTCCTGTTCTGTTCCCAGTTCATGCCAGACGCCTCCGCCGTCATGCAGCTGCTCCTCAAAACCCAGACGGACTTCAATGACCTGGAGGATGACGATCCGCAGGTGGGGGAGGCTTGAACGCAACTTTGAACCGTCTGTTTTTTTCTCTATAGCTGTTGCAATATAGTCACCCTGTTCTGCTGCGGTTTAGATCTCCTACATGATCTCTGCGTGGGCCCGGATGTGCAAGATCCTGGGGAAGGAGTTTCAGCAGTACCTGCCTGTGGTGATGGGCCCCCTGATGAAGACCGCCTCCATCAAGCCTGAGGTGGCCCTGCTCGATAGTAAGTACTATATACATGTTTCCCGTATTTAAGACGCAAAAGCAGCGGCAGTATTTGAACGCATCTGTCGCCGCCTCGTAGCCCAGGACATGGAGAACATATCGGAGGACGACGGCTGGGAGTTCGTCAACCTGGGAGACCAGCAGAGTTTCGGCATCAAGACGGCGGGCCTGGAGGAGAAGGCCACTGCCTGCCAGATGCTGGTGAGTAGTCTGGTCCGCTACGGAGAAACCAGCATTGATGTAAATCCCTTGTTTATCTTGTATCTGACTGAGATCAGCCCTGTCAGTGAGATGCTCTGTGTTGTGTTTTTCCAGGTGTGTTACGCCAAAGAGCTGAAGGAGGGCTTCGTGGAGTACACAGAGCAGGTGGTGAAGCTGATGGTTCCTCTGCTCAAGTTCTACTTCCATGACGATATCCTTTTTTAGACGGTGACTTCTCCCCTTTTCCGAGCTATAACTGGTGGCATTACGTGTACATGAAGGGTTTGAGGATTCAATGGTGTTCCCCTTAACTGTCTCACGTGTGCGGGTGGCGGCGGCCGAGTCCATGCCCCTGCTGCTGGAGTGCGCGCGGGTCCGAGGGCCGGAGTACCTCACCCAGATGTGGCACTTCATGTGCGACGCCCTCATCAAGGCCATCGGCACCGAGCCGGACTCCGACGTCCTGTCGGAGATCATGCACTCCTTTGCCAAGGTAACTTCATGCAGCGTGTTTTAACATTTGGATCCGTTTTTAGGAGCTGGGCCCGGTTTGTGACCTGCGTTTTTGTTTTCGGTCTAAAGTGCATCGAGCTGATGGGAGACGGCTGTCTGCACAACGAGCATTTCGAGGAGCTGGGCGGCATCTTGAAAGCAAAGCTGGAGGAGCACTTTAAGAACCAGGAGCTCAGACAGAGTGAGACTTCATTCCAGCCATAGAATAAGTTTTGAATGTTGGAAAAAAAAAAGCTCCTTTGTTTCAGCCAAATAAAAGATGTGTGTGCGTTTTATGCACAATCCTCACCGAACACTTCTTTGCTCCTCACAGCCAAGAGACAGGATGAAGACTACGACGAGCAGGTGGAGGAATCGTTACAAGACGAGGTGAACATTTTGACCTCGGAATAGTCAGAAATCGTGAAGAATATAGTGCGAGTCATCATTATCTTTTTCTTCTGCAGGATGAGAACGACGTGTACATCCTGACCAAAGTGTCTGACATCCTGCACTCGGTGTTCAGTAGCTACAAAGAGAAGGTGCTGCCTTGGTTCGAACAGCTGCTGCAGCTCATCGTCCAGCTAATAGTGAGTACTTCCTGTTTTCTGTACGTCTGCAGCCATGTTGTGCATATTTATCGTCACTTAAAGGCCAACAGAAACTAACCGACCTCGTCTTCAGTGTCCCAGCAGGCCGTGGGCGGACAGACAGTGGGGCCTTTGCATCTTCGACGACGTGGTGGAGCACTGCAGCCCGGCCTCCTTCAAATACGCAGAGTACTTCCTGCCGCCGATGCTGCAGTCGCTGTGCGACACGAGCCCCGAGGTCCGGCAGGCGGCCGCCTACGGCGCCGGCGTCATGGCCCAGCACGGAGGAGAGAGCTACCGCCCGTTCTGCACAGGTACCGGCCTCCGGCTCCGCCCATCACTTGTGTTGCCGCTGGCCAAGCGTTCTGTTTTCGGTTAACCGGGTGCATTTGTTTTCCTTTGATCCAGAGGCCATCCCCCTAATGGTGAGGGTCATCCAGGCGGCGGACTCACGCGCCAAAGAGAACGTCAACGCCACGGAGAACTGCATCTCCGCCGTCGGAAAGGTCATGAGGTTTCGGCCCGAGTGCGTGAACGTCAACGAGATCCTCCCCCATTGGCTCAGCTGGCTGCCGCTCAACGAGGACAAAGAGGAGGCCGTCCACACGTTTGACTTCCTGTGCGACCTCATCGAAAGGTCGGGGCGACTAAAATTTCTTTAAATGTATTTTTTGTTACATTTATATTGTACAAATCTTAATCTTCTGTCTTCCCTCCACAGCAACAACCCGATTGCCCTCGGGCCAGACAACGCCAACCTGCCTAAAATTTTCCTTATCATCGCGGACGGAGTGTCAAACGAATCGGTCAAGAGTGAAGACCCGTGCAGCAAGCGGCTGGCAAACGTCATCCGTCAAGTACAGGTGAGCCTCTACCGCACGACTCATCAAAAAAAGTGTTGATGCTAAGAAACCGAGCGGACATGAAGTGAACGAATCTGTTGTGTCGTGTCCTCCAGGTGTCGGCGGGTCTATGGACGCAGTGCGTGTCGACGCTGAACGAGACGCAGCAGAAAGCCATACAGGACCTATTGAACACCGCTTGAGCCCGGACCACCGGTCACCTCCCCGCCCTTTAAAAAATAAAAAATAAAAAAAGTAAGCCCATGAAGAAAAGTCGAGCTCCTGGATCTCCTCCATACACTCCCTTCTCTTCCTCCTGCTCTGATCTGTAGTGTGTATGGACGCCGGCTTCAACCCCACTATTATATAACCCCACCTACATTCAGCCGACTGGGGGGGGGGGGCAGGTTGGATATTTATGACAATGGAGGACATTGGCCATCCACCTCAAAGACTTTCACCCCGTGTTCAAGGAAGTGGCAACCAGAGTTAAGTGTCAGTCGTCCTCCTCCCCAACCATTCCCCCGACGTTTGACTCGAGGGACTCATTCTTCACGCCGACCCAACACAAACTCATTGGACAGTCGGGCTCAGAGGGGGCCACCGTGGCGGGCACAGGACATTCTAGTGGACTGAGCAATCGAATGAGGTGGAAAATGCACACTGGGGCGATCACTGCCTGTCTCCTGTGAAACCTTTTTTTTTTTTTTTTTTCTATTTGTATTTTTTTTTTTTTTTTCTTGTTCCGTTTCGTCCACAGCTCAGAGGGCGTGTTTCAAAAAGTAACGGCATGTTCAGTGGCTAACTCTTAGAAAACATAGTTAGGGGGGGGGGGGATTTACATCAATAGTCTGGGAGAGTTTCCGCCGTAGACCCTCAAGACAGCTGTTCACGGGACACTAGTCTGAAGTTTAAAATGTTCGCTGAACGGTTCTCGGCCCCTTTTTTTAGGTAGCAGTTTAAGAGAAGAGGGGCCCCCAGAAACGAAGAGCGTCTTTAGCTGGTCACGGTGTGTAAAACATGAATTGTAGAGTATTTGTAAAATGCGTGTTACCATACTCTTAACTTGATGGTTTTGACCCTTTGCAGCCCTGCAGGTATGTGATGGAAAACTACCAACAATAAAATTCCATTTGAGAAGTTCTTTCATTTGATTTATTAAGTCTTAAGTTAGATCTCTGCCCATTGGGATTTTTTTTTTTTTTAACATATTAAACCTCATCTCTTGTGTGGTAATCATGTGCACACCATTTATTTTTATTTTTTTTTGTGGCCCCAAGCATTTGACAGACATCAGTTGTTTCAACAGAGCAGCCATGCTTTATTAGGACACTTAGACCAACAGCGAGAAGTTTAAATTAAAGCTTTCAACCAAACAGTCATGGATGGTGACCCCTTCAGTAGACTGCCCAAAATATACATATGCATGTTACACAGCCTGTATTTAACACACTCAGTTGCCAGTCTATTAGGCAGCTGGGACTAATGCAGTGTGATATAAATTGGCAACCGAATATAGTTCAACAAGTTGCTTCAGCGTGGAGAAATGTTTTTCTGTGCGCGTATGAGAAGCATTTTGATTAACTTTAAATTCCGTTGGGGCCATTTGCTAATGTTAAAGTTGCCTGTATAAATCCCCAGACCAGCTAGGGAAACTAAAGACAAGCAGCACGTCTCTGAATTACAACACGTTTGGCGAGACAGCTTTTCAAGATTTCAGTTTCGAAGACGATGCCTGTGACACAAAGGGAACCGGTTTGATTTCTAGAGTCGCACCGCGTGATCAGAAAAGGCCGCGACGTCGTGGAAACCTTCAGTGGAGGGCGGCTCGATTATAGCGATGCTAGTTTCACAAAAACTACCACGAGAGCAGGTCGTCCGTCCTCTGCATTACACGCCTCATTAAACACTGATGGCGTGAGCAAAGCTGTGCCACATAGAAAATAAAGTTTAACTTTAGATGAACACTACCAGGCCAGAGAGGAGGAGATAATACAGTATTTACAGGGATCTGTGCGAGCGTGCCTGACGGGAAGGCGGGAGAGGAAAATGTCAGAAAATTAAGCGATTCACATTAAAATAAGGTGATTTTAGTCTGAGCGATTCTCACTCTGCTTCTCCCTTTTCATTCTTCTCTGCTTCATTTGCCACCATCCATTTAGTCTTTCCTCACACGTCGTCCTTCGCGTCTCTTCTACTGGAGCATGTCCACGAAAGCGTCAAACTCGTCGATGTTCTTCTCATAAACGGCCAGTTTCTCTGGCAGCGAGTCCTGCAGACGAGAAAATAGGAAATTATTACAAGCAGGCATTCGGTTTCGCTTCGGACTTTTTAATAGTGACTTAAAAAACGAGTGTGTTACCAGGTCATCGGCCATCGACTGGGAGCTGATGTGTAGCGAGAGGCTGGCCAGTTGAGGGGGGTTTTGAAACTCTCTGTAGAAAGTGCCCAGATCCATCGGCAACAAGTCGTCTTTAGAGAAGGCTGGACGCTGCAGACGGGTAAAGAGACCTTTAGATTTCATAAACGCCTCCAGAATTTATTTATTTGACTGTATAAAAAAAAAGGTGGATTTTAAGAGCAAATGTATGAACTTCCTCCAAACACCTCACCTTCACACTAAGGGATTTCAAATAAAAAAAACAATTACGTACAAAGTCGACCATGACAAAGTCGTCCTGCTGCCCTGATCCCTCTGAGCCCTGAGAATGGAGGCTGGCCTGCAGGGGTGAGGGGCAGGAAGGAGAGTCTGGAGGCTGCACCTGAACACACACACACAGAGAGAATATACCAACTGTACAAAACTTGACTAACAAAAGTATCGGGATGTATGAGGGGAAAAAATGATCGTAATATCTACCATGGGATCATTCTCCTCTGGGTCCAGGCCTCGAGGAGCAAATGCAGCAAATGGCAGGTCCAGACTGGCTGCTGTTATCTACACACACACACACACACACAGGGTTAAATTCAGTGCTCTCTTCACTCACTACAAAACAACTGTAGGCCAGTTACCTACCGGTGCGTTGGCTTTATTGACGAAGGCTCCGATCTTCCTCGTGAACGCGTTGAGAGACTCCACGGGGTCCGAGGGGGAAGCGCCCGTCGTCCTCTCTCCGCTGTGCGTCAGGCCGTCATCGTCGCAACTGGGAAGAGAGACGAGTGAGTCATCGTTCAGATGTTGATTAACAATCCAACATGTCTTCACGGGGCGGGATGAAGATCGGCGACTTTTGACATTTAGAGAGAGCTACGCGGCTACATGTTTCAGTGATGTCAGGGGAGAATTACCTGCTGCCGGGTGTGTGGGCAGCGTTCTCCACCGTCAGATGAGCGTCGGCTCCGCGATGAGGCTGGGCAGGAACCAACGCAGCCCCTCCATGCTCCTTCCCAGCATGCAACACCTGAGGAGGAGGAACAGGGCAGAGATATAGTAGACCGAGTAGAAATCTGTGATTTTCACTCCTATTGCCCTAACTTATCACAGATAAATGTATATGCATCTGGAGGTGGATTGATTGGTGTATCACCTGGTGTGCAGCAGGGTGACAGAGCTCAGCAGCTCCCGTTAGAGCTGGAGGATGGTACAATAACCTGGACGCATACAGCTAGAGACGGACAGAAGGAAGAGGGAATATTAACCTCAAAACACGACATTTGAGACACACACCGTATTATCACAACGTCACAGATGTGCTCTTGAGATGAACGTGGGTTTACTATGTGGTACAGATGATGAGTTATCATAATGAAACAGGTCTACAGTGCATAACACTCTGGGCTGAGGTAAGCGATGGACCATCACACACACACACAGTGGCCAGTATAAACTCACAGTGTGAGTGACAAGTCCCGGAGCCAGTGGAAGCGGCAGACTGTCCAGAGGGAGGGGCTTAGACAGTTTAGAGGGCGAAGGACTCAGTGTGCACACACACTGAGAGAGTGCGCACACACACACACAGATAAACATACAATACATAAAAAGACAGAGAGAGAAAAGGGAAAGTGAAATAAAGAACAGCTATGAAAATGGAGAGGATAAAGAGGAGCGAGTGACCGTGTCCTCTTACCTGTGAGGGAGGGGAGGTGGAGAAGGAGGTGGTGCAGACCTCCTGTGAATCTTGAACCCCTGCATATGGTCCTCCATCATCCTCGTCTGGAGCTCTGAACACACATATTGTAAAGTAGAAGATTGAAACTTTTGAGTGGGAGTTGTGGGCATATAATGTCAGGATTTCCATTGTTTTCTGTAGCTACCTGTAGTTGCAGGGATGTCCCATGTTGGCAGGCCGCTGGCCGCAGCCGGGAGGATCCACGAAGTGATCCACGATGATCCCCATGATGGGAGCCGCGCGCTCAAACTGTCTGCAGGAGACGACGTGTCGACGGCGGACCGGTTATTCACTCATTCTGACTTTAACAAGCAAATGATATTGCGTGTAGCGTGTCGGTTACCTGTTGGACATGAATGCCAGGTTGGTGCGGTAAGCGCAGGACAGCGTGACCGTGCCAACGGGGGTTCCAACGACGCCGATACGCACCGTCTGAAAACCTTAAACAAACGACGAGCTTCAGTGAGCAAACATGTCCGCTCATGGAACGCACGTATACATGTTTAAATTAATTAGTACACAAGTTAGGCACATTTTCAGTTACCTTCTCCTAATCCACTGAGCTGGACTTCCCCGAAGTAAATCCTAAATAGAGGCAGAAACAAATGGGGACATATGTCATACATCCATTGTGTGTAACAGGAGACAGATCAGAGCTGGTGTTGCTTAAGCCGTTAATCCAGCTGTTTCACTCACCTGTATAGTATGACATAGTCGTGACCCTGCTTTCTGGATAGCTTATAGGCGGGTGTTACTCTAGTGATGGCCAACAGAGACTTCAGTAGCACAGACAGACGGTTGTAGACTGTGTACGACACCTTGATGTCCTTATCACACCTACAGCAGAGACAGGCGACACATTGACTCATTACAACTCAGCAGCGCGGCGGTGTTTCCCAGAAATGTCAACTCAAAATGACTCGACAGCTCAATATATAAAGCCAGAATAACTTTCCTTTAATGGTTTTTATAAAGTGTTTCTCGTGGATCAAACAGCAGCAGCACTTCACAGACGTGATACAAACTACAAAATGTCACTGAAATAGAGACAAAGTAAGCCATTTATAACTTAAAGCATCTGATATTTATTTTTGTGCTGCTCCATTGTTCGCTTGCTCACAAGCCAGCTCTGATAAACTTCTTACTTTCCTGAATATTCCTTAATCTAAAACAATTAAAACACACTCACTTTTCATTCATTTCCAGGCACCAGGTCTCCAACTCCATTGAGTCACCCTGAGTGAGACAGAGACACAGACAATTGAAATAAATAAATAAATAAATATATATATATATATATATATATATATATATATATATATATATATA